CTTTTCTTTTCTTTTCTTTTCTTTTCTTTCTTACTTTTCTTTTTTCTTTTCTTCAATTTCTTTTTGTTTGTCATCTCAATGCCTGGAGTTGAGGCTGTCATTCAGTCCAGCTTGCATCCACATCAATCCTTAGGGATTCCATGGGAATCAGCAGGACTCGACAGTTTATCACATGAGCTCAGAAAATCACCAAGTGTGCTGATTTTGGTTTCATGTCTGGACAGCTTGATCTAATCTTGAAACAGAATATTTTATTTATTTAGAGGACATCTGTTGAGATCTTATATGAAAAGGATGTTAGCTGAGATCTCATTGTGTAAATTTTGCTTTTGCTATATCATATTGTATCTATTAAATCTATCAAACAGTAGCTGATTGCAAAACCCTCTTTCTAATTGGCTTGTTTCAAGCTACTAGCAGTGGATACCATGYATGATTATGTCTGTTCTGCTAACTGAACATTTAACATTTAAAAGATAAAAGAGAGGTAAGAGGAAATGGATAAAGGTGGAGGAAGTGATTCAGTTTGCTTTAGCACCTTAAATTGTTATTACATTTGATTATAATTTTGTTGGTGTGTCAAAAGCATCTCATGGAATTGTCCTTAAGTCTCTATAGATATGAAGTTTGAAAAGAAAGATCTGTATTGAGCCAGCCTTCCACAAATACCCAAATCTGTTTCAGAGGTCTACAATGTGAGATTGGAAGGCTCACATCTCTTATGGCAGATCACCATCACTTTGCTTAGTTGACAAAAATGTAAGGGTTTTTCCATAGTATGGAAGCTAAGTATGACATTATAATACTTAAGGGCATTAATAGCAGTAAGCTGAACATTACTGTAAAGAAAATAATTATGAAACCTACTATTCCTGAAAGGGAAAAGAAAAAGCTCAGATGATATGCAACTGGTCCGAGAAGACAAAAAGAAACCAGAGTATCCCAAATTGATAGACAGCACAACTATAGCCACTTACTAACACCCATTAGGAGTTATGCGATCTTTTTGTTGTGACTAAGATTGCTTAGCCACATTTCAACGCAGAATGGACTGCAATCTGACTTTAAAAGTTTGTAAATAGCTACGTGGACTTTGAAGAGTTGAGTGTGACATTCTTGAAGCTAAATATGAGAAATCATGAAAMTACTGGTTTATATATGCTATTATCTGGCTTAATGGTACATGTTACTGGCTTAATATTGTTTGTACTTGAAGACTCCACACTTTCTATGCATCTTCTTTTACCTTAATATAGCCTGTGACTCTTCTTTGGTGTTCTGAAAAGGTAGACCCGCTAAAAACTATTTGAAGCCAAACAGCTGTTCTGAATTGCAAGCCACTGACTTAATTCTAAGTTTTTTCAACTCTGTTATCTTAGTGATGCTAATCATGCTTGTGAGGGTCTATTTGAGTAGCTGAATGTAAAATTATTTCATTTGGACTTTTCACTACACATATGTTTTAGACTTTTCACATATGACTTCATTATGACTTTTCACATATGTTTTAGAAGTACTTTTCCTATGCATTAAAGCTTCAGTCCTGAGCATTTGAAGCTCTGCAAGTGTAGTCAATAAAAAGTAAACACTGTACAGAAGTTCTTAATTGCTATTTTATAGCCATATTATCAACTCTGTCCTCCCTCTTATCCTATGAAAAGCATATGCTTAGGAATGACGTTGCTAAGGTCATGCCTTGAATTCAACTTAGATAATTATTCTTCTTCTGTGAAGAAATTGATTCCTAAAATTATTYCAGGTTTGGCTTTTCTTTCATTTAATCCTCCTGTATCTGTCTTTAAAGAAAACACCAGTGTATTCCTCTGTAAAAAGTATGGATAAATAGGTTAAGTTTGTTTTACATTAAAATAAATTCCATTCTGTGTGTTTAGTGTAAACCTTTAATGCTGTGTGATATGGGGAGTACAGGGCAGCAGAGATACTAGCACAGACTCTTTGCTAGTTGCCAGATTCATTCTTTACTGATTGGTTGCAGCTTCAGAAGAAAGAGGCCTATATGGTCCTTACATGACACKCATAATTGGAGACCTACAGCATTAGTGTGGTGGATCACTAGTCATTTTCTTTCCTTAAAGCATAATGTAAAGTTATTCTGTGATGAGCAGTTTGTATTTCTTTAATGTGACTGAGTCTTTCTTGAAGCCTGTATCAAGGATTGAACTTTCCAAATTATGTATTTCAGACATTGAGAAAGAAAGGACTTAATGGCTGTGACAGTCCAGACCCCGATGCAGATGATTCAGTAGGTCACAGCCCTGAGTCTGAGGACAAGTACAGAAAAATTAATGAAGATATTGATCTAATGATCAGCAGGCAAAGATTATGTGTAAGTACTCTGAGCTCCTTTTCATTTTTTTTTTACTTTCTGATATTTCTCTGAACCTGGCAGGCATTGCACAAGAAAGAAAACAAAGGTTGTGAAAGCCCTGATCCTGACTCCTCTTATGCTCTCACCCCACGCACTGAAGAAAAATATAAAAAAATTAATGAAGAATTTGATAATATGATCAAGAGCCATAAAATACTTGTAAGTACCGAAGGTTAGATGGCTGTCTGCTGATAACTGCTGCAGTAACAAACCATAACCCTTTCAGTTCTGGTTTCTTAAGGGAATAATTTCAGCTAGAAAGAGGCTTCAATAGCCAAATATATAACTAAACACTGGTCAGAAAACTTCACACAGTATATTTTTCTTTCAAGTCTCTAACTATGACATGCAGACAAAGCCTGTTATGGGTGAAACCTACTGAAGGAAGTGAAATGTACATATATGCACTTTATTCACTTGATTTACAGAACTGTTTTACCACAACACTTGCCCAAATTGTACCTAAAAAATAACAGTGGAAATATTTTTTGTGGACAGGCTAACAAATCCACAGAAGACTTTCTGTGGTGATATAGAAAAACAATGTAGAACTGAAATTCCTTTATATATAGTAATTAGCATGTTTTGGTGAGTAACTTCAGTTCTCAGTTGTCTCTGCTAAACTCAGGTGCAGCACTGAAGGGTTACAGCTACTTACTCGCTGCAGAGAAACACACTGCATGAGAGCCTAATGGCAGGATTCAGACATGTTTGTGTGTTGGGGTGATTTTACAGCTTTGTTAGAGAATTTGCTTTGATCTCATTAGCATTTCTTTAATGCTTTAACATGAGCTAAATTTTGTCTTAACCAAGTCAAAATTTCTAACAGTCATATGCCTTGCCAGATATCTAAGAGAAATAACTCTGCATGTGCTATTTGGTTCGCACAAGACATACAAAGGGTGAATACTTAGTTATTGTGTTTGATATTGTATTTRTAAATAAAACAGAAAGAATATGGAGATTTGAAGGTTTATTTGATTGATCTTCCAAATATCTGTGGAAGATAAAGAAAGAAACCTTTATTTGCTCATATCCAAAGGGTCATTTGAACTTGCATAGGTAACTGCTTGTTTCTAAAAGCCAAGAAATTATTTTTATGTGCTCATTTGTCATTCCCATATGAAGGTTGCATGGTTATCTACCAAAAAAGTTGCCTGTATACCCAAAATAAGCAGTTTCCTCTGTAGTGCTAGTCAATTAATTGCATATACAAAACCTGATACCTAAGATGAGGATAGTCATTAAGGATGCTCAGATTCTGTCTCAAGCACTCCAAGTGTTATTTCCATTAATTCTCAGAAGAAGGATTTTTCACTAAAGGTAATTAAAATTTGAAGAAGTTCTCAGGTAATGCCAAAAAAAAATTGGAAAAAAATAGGAAGACTAAATAATATTTTCCCAAAGAGCAGACTGACACTAAATTTGAAACAGTAATATTTGAAATGACTGGTTAAGGATGCCAAAGGTGTATATAGAATATCAGGGAGGAATACCAATATTTTTACCAATATTTTTACCAATATATACCAATTTTTTTACATCCCATTTTATTTGCGTCTTTTGGAAAGCTGATTTTCTCAGAACAGAAAGTTCTAAAGCTGTCACCACGAATTTGGTTTCTCAGGATGGAACTCAGTTTGACAAATGATGACTGTAGCATTTAGGGAGACTGTTACAAGCCAGAATGCTTAACCCTTTTTCACATCAAAATCTCAAATGCCATTCTTTCATTCATTTCCTCTTTCAAGGATGACTTTTGGCTTTTCCAAATCAAAGGCACAGATGTTTCACCAAGCTACTTTTCTGACTTTAAAAAGTATTTGGGATGATCCTTCAGAACCTCTGTTTATCTCATGCTACCTGTTTCCTTCCTAAAAAAACAGGTCATGTTATAATCATCTGAAATCTTAAGACATAAACAAAAAAAAAACCCAAAAAAA